AATTTATGTGCATGCTGCTACAAGTGTGTGTGTGTGCGAGTGTGTGTGTGTGTGTGTAGAGGCTTGCTAGCGAACGCCGTGGGTGTCGGGGTTAGGCCAATAACTTTAGTCACCTTTATAGCCGTCATTTATCTTGCGGCATGCTCGCCAAAAGTACAATCAATGTAAGCACGGTTCGGGGCTCTGCCGCGCCTCCATGATATCGATTCGCGTGGGCCATGAAAATGTTATTGGAACTACGACTGGAATTGAGACTGCGACGGTATTCGAAAACGTTTTTCACGCAATCGGGTGATAAGCCCATTAATCTTTAAAACATTTTAGTTGAAATGCAATTAATGCAGGAAGTACGGAAAATAAGGCTTAGTCGAATCGTATTTCCTGCCTAAGCCATCTTCAGTCAGAAGAACTATTGGGATAATAATATTGTCGCTCACTGAACATTTAATTAAAATAAGTTTATTTACCTTAGGAAAACAGTTTTATGTCCCGTAATCTCAAAATATACCCATTAAAATACACAGATTTGGTGAGCATTTGTCTCTTCTGTTTAGTCGACGATTGTAATTTAAATTTGAATATCCCAAGAATCATGAATTTACAACAGGAGTAATTGTAATTCCTAATTTGGACTCACAGCTAGCGGTTTAATTTACGCGTGCTATTCTCAATTATTAAATCAACATGGGGCTCTAGTCGGGAGCTTCCGATCAGAGGATAACCTGACCGTTACGAGCACGTTTCAAAATTAAAGTTCCCTCAAATTCAGCTATAAAATGAAAGATACAGAATTTCGATATCGATTTTTATTATTATTTAGCGGCTTACTATCCACAATACTCTATGCCACAAGTGAACTATCGCCCCAAGAAAGACGCCAGCAGCCCCTTTTTACCCTTTGAATACATGTTGGACGGACATGATATTCCCACCTTGTTAGGAGGTGAGACCGACCAAAACATCAGCTGTTGATAAAACAACTGGTAATAATTGGAAATAAACGTAATTGGAAATAAACCTCAACCAACACGTTACTCCCATTTATCCCAATGGAAAGTTACTGTTGAATATTTAAAATTAAAAAAATTAAAAATCCTAAGCATAAAAAATCTCCTTATTGTAGTTCTTTTTTGATGTAACTATTATATATATATGTTTTTTTTTTGGGAAAATATGCCCAACTAGAGCACAGTTACCTGTTATCTTTAAAGCCTTGACACCACATTACCAATTTGTACGTTTTAAATTTAAAATCAACAATCTCTCAGAAAACTGAATATATAACAATGCCGTTCTCTTGCTCCAGTTTTTAAGTTATAACGTTTAAGCAGAAAAATTTATTTTGTATTTATAATCACAAGACAACTATTTTTGTTTACCAAGATTAAGGAGAATAATATACATTTGTTGATTGCCTATGAAAGCCCTACTAGCTCGAAATCTTCCATTCTCGCATATGTGTGCGCATTTAATATGCCTAAAAGTATGCATTAGAGGTTAAATTAATATTTTCCTAGCAAGAACTTTGCATTGCTTATATTCTTTTTCACCGAGGGTTCATTTGATGTGCTCCAGTCGTAAACGTTCACCGGAGTTTATATATTTTTCTGAACCGTAAAATCAATAAGAAATATGTCTACGTTAACTGAAATAAACTAAATCTAGCCTCGCTATAAAAGAATTTTTTAGCTAGCCTACATTACAGATGTGAATATTTGCACATTGTAATGGGGTGGAAGTCCCACTTACAGGATAAAAACCCACTTAAAACACGATGTCTGATAGTTCACACGCCTCGGTGTCGCCCTTAATTAAATGCCAGATAATGCCGGCCTGCGCTACGAAAGGTTTTTTATGCAATCTATCGTTAACTGCCTCTAAGCTGTTAAATTGTTTTTAATTGCATTAAATACTAGTGCAGGCACTTGAAAATTTCACGAGCGAACGCAGTTTTTTATTTGCTTTCGAATATTGTCGGGGATTCTGCAACCCTCAGCTAATTGTCTGGGCGATGGGTGTGAAATGTGAAAAAAGTTTCAATTTGCCACCCCCTTAGAAGTGAGAGCTAAATAAATAGCAATTATCTATCTATATATATATATATTTTAATAAATTCGCATTAGTCTCAAATTCTATATATTCTATGATGGGTCTAAGTTCATTGAACCGCATTCACAAGCCAAGCTTTAACTGTTAAAGAACTCTTTGGCATCAGACTCAGGGACAGGCTGAGAGAGCTTTGAAAGCCACTCAAGCTTTGCTGCTCAGACTCCGTGCGTCTCAAGAAGCACTCACAAAAAACCTGCTGCATGCTTGCCCGTTAATCTTGGCGAATATGTGCATGTATGCATGCACACACATGTATATGCACACATGTATGTGTCGTATGGAAAACAAATTGTGAACACGAGACCAGCGATGCTTTACGACCCTAATGACTGTGAGAACTTTTTGTAATTGTCGCGCTTTGAGTGCCTACAATGTCGCAGGCATTGCCGAGCTCTTAAATCACATTGTATATCTAAGAGCATAGCTCTAATTGTCTCAGTGGTATTGCTAGTATTTACAGTTGTATTTGCTTTGTTTTCTACGAATCTAAATCACTCTCTTTTCTCTCTTTTCAGAGCTCTACGGTTAACCTTTCAGATCGAGGTAAGTCTAGTAACTCTTTCATAATTAAATTTCAGTAAAAGAGAAACAAGTGCCTACCATACGAACTTTATAAAATAGTCTTTTGGTAATCATTGCAGCTATGCTCGTTCGTACAAATGTTCTTCGTGTTCTCAGCTATACATACATATGTATGTGGATACAATCGCAAAGAGTTTTTGTAAATAAAAGTGATAAGTTATAAACGGGTGAATAGAATATATCAAAGTCTTTTAGGTTCGGTATGCATATAATGCAAAGCATTTTATTGTGCTTATTTATGTTTTTATCAACTTCATATTGTGCAATTCGAGGTCTGCATTTGCGTATGTATTTTGATTGAATTCCTGATTAGTTTAAGTTTGTGGCTTTTGTCTAGCCATCGACATTGATTTCTCAGCTTGTGGCCATTGCAAATCCCATTCACATTCGTGGCATTGTGAGAGTAGCTTATCGTCTGTCTATCCAAGGGGCGGCTGTGGGTGTGTTAGGGGTCGCATTAGGCATTGGGAGCGCCCAGTTTTATTTAAAAATACGACACCTAAGCGACAGACAACAGCACTGCAATTTAGTTATGTTTTTACTACTTAGTTCAGCTCTTTGCTGGCGTTAGCTTATACGCTTTTCATTTTTCTGGACTTTTGCCTAGATGTTTTATGGATGCAAATGCTTATAAAAATCGGTAAGCGCGGCATTTGCATTATTCTTGCTTATAACTTTATATACCCATTAGATCCTTAATCAAAATTCGTTGCTTTGTATAGCTCTACGATTTGCAGCAAAATTTATACCTGTCTGTACCCAGCTACCTAGCCTATCTCTACATAGAGTATTTCTGCGCATATACAAACACACATATATGTATGTATACATATGTATGTACATACATTGTACATACCTTTAAGCCAATGCGTTGCAATTTTTCGCACGTTCCAATACTGAGAGCCATGAGTCGCTCTCTCTACGCTCTCAAATGGTTTCGACCTTTCCATTGTATGAACACAACAACAGTTTAATGGATTTGTCTCTCTTTAGTTTTTTGTATCTATTTTTCTCTTTTCGCAACGACCTTGTCTTATTGCTTTGTTCGATCGATCATTCGATATTGTTGTCGATTGGAATTCATGTTCGGCACTTTAACGTTACAAGTCGGTCAGTTGAATTGTTGATCATTTGGCTTAGTTAATCAGCTTCTAGTTACTTTCATTCCATTGCATAATAATATTTGTTAACATCGATCCCTAAAAAATAGCTAGTTTTTGATGTATCACTCTTTCTATTTTCTCTTACATCATTCAAATTCTCTTCGGTTCGTATTCCTTTTCAGCCAGTGCCAACTATTCAGACCCGGAGTTATAGCTGTATGTGTTCGTAAGCAAAACTGGCAGCTGCAGACCTAACAACTGGTTTTGAATGCCCTACATTTCAAACATTACGGCATATGGCCTTGTGATTGAAAGAGTCTATATACATAAATTGTCGCAAGTCGCGTAAAATTTTCAAAAACGTTCTTATTTTGGATGAATTGTTTTTTAACTGGTAGCACCATTAACCGACTAAAATAGCATATTTTTTTATATATATCAAAATTTTGTATCTATATATATATATATATTTTTAATATTAATTTTGATTATAAATTTGCAAGCAACTGACATTTGTTAAGAATCGCATTAAACTTGTTAATTTTGTGCTATTTATGAATCTGTTTTTTATTATCAAAATTGTTGTTACTTGTGCTCGGGTTAAAAGATCTTCACAAAACTTTGAGTTGTCGATTTATGGAATACAACTGTATAATTTGATCAATGTACTTCGTATAAGTTCTTAGATAAACACATTCATATAGAGCCAAATCTAGGGTTTCTTTTTTGTTATAGTGAACCAAATTATACCCTTCATTATTAGGCAATTGTTGGTGATCGCGAACAAGGTAGCGTATTTGGCGATTTAGCTGGCCGATACCTTTCGGCTGACTCCACAAAATCTACGGCTGAACAAAGCGCGTCGCAATTTTATCGGTGTCGCTCTCGGTCCCGAGGTAACTGTCGTTGTTGGTAGTAAATAATACAATGGTACTGAGCAAACTCACGCACACAAGCGCGCTAAGAGCGTACGGCACTCACACACGCTCACATATATATATATAAATATATATGGATGTATGGATATATGGATGTGTGCATGTGTGCATGTGTACACAGATGCACACAGTCGCCCTGTGTACAAAGCCAACAGCTGTCAGCAACACGCTCTTGTTCTCTTGTCTTGTTCTCTCCCTCTCTTTTTCTCTCACTCTCTGGGCAATTGAGTTTCGAACCAGTCGGTACCGCGCCAGTACAGTAGACCAATCTGAGCCGTCGAATCGAGCAAACCTCTCTGGAAAGCGCGTCAACCGTTGACCGTCAGTTCGTCAGTCTGCAGAGTCCACTGGTGCTTCGTAGAGCCCATGTCCGCGTAACTTTTTATACCAAGTCGGGGGGGGTTACGTTTATCTGGTACTGGTTGTTCTAGTGGTTCGGAATCGTGGTGTTTCACAATCATATTCGGTGCCGTGAAATCTGTTAAGTGCTATGTAAAAAATCAATGTATGAAACACGTTAAGAAAAATCGGTATATATTATATAATGCCCGAAACCGGTTTGGTGGCCTAAACAAAAATAGTTGACCGTGCCAAATGATAGCCTAAACAGTATATTTACTGCTGGATTTAACTGCGCTGGATAGAAACCGAACAGTCCACCAAAACATGATACTTTAATGGTATGTTTTGCCAAAATGTCAAACGATAATACAAACAAAGCTACGTAAACTCGCAACAACACCTTCATGGCTTATGTTACATATACACATGTGGATGGTACGGACACTGAAAGACTTTCGATTCAATCCGAAAACAAGTTTTTGCATGAAATGTAATCATTTGCATACAATTCTTGGATTCTTAAGTCACATTTATTGCTGTCGTTCGGTACAGGTTTTCGGATTGTCTCGTGTGATTTGGCAAACTTTGACGTTTCTGACATGCATTGAAATAATAGTTAACAGGCTGAAGTATAAGTAAATTGCTAGATCTTAACTGAAATTCGATCAGATATTTGTATAATATAACAGAAAGTAAGTACAAAGAACTAAGATGGCTGCTAAGAATCTTCGCTGAACACACCTAAACACATACCTTATGCACTTATGTTTGTGGATATGGCTTCTTTCTCTTTTGACATACAGCTGACAGCTGTCTAAACTGACTGGGTATTGTTCATACAGAGACTGACATGGTTTAGTTTCCGAAAATATATGGGTATTACTTTACCAATGACAATTCGATATAATGAATCTGGAAAATTGCAACTATCAGGCATCAAAGACACTTGCAATTAGCAGCCTCATTACGGATTTAAATATACATATATACAATATATAAGATTAGTATCTAGTATTGCCATCTTTCGCACGTATATAAAAATGATTCATTGCAAAGATGTGTGTGACTAAAAGCAGCTTTTTGTTTGGTTCGGGCTTCGAATGACGGTCACCTAAGTAAACAAATCATTATGCAATGTCGAAACATAAATATTGAAATGTAAACTTTTCTCTAGTGGATTTTATTGTTATTAATGCTGTGCATTCAGTGGCTATAATAATAATAAATGAGTTATAAACTAATGAAATTAGCTGGTAGCAAGCGAGGGATAAGGTCTCCTTAACAATAGATGACGGAGTTCTCACACACTTAATATTATTTCTACATTTTCTCCGAATCCATAATCATTTTCTCTACTTTTATTTGACAGTACACTAATTCATAGCTTTAATATAAATATAGTAGTAGGCGAGTGTTTATCTTGAATCAAGACTTCGCCCATGTGTAAGAATCTTGAAGTCGAAGAATAAGCTTTCGTTCATTTAACCTTTGGACAACATTTTACAATCAAATGATCTTTAACGAAAATCTCTGAAAGTTACAACAACATGAAAGTTACCAACATGTTGCATGCAACAGGTTTCCGTTACATTTCCACGGTTGCGGGTGGAATTCAAAAAAACAGTGGAAGACGTATTTTTTAAAGTTTTAATGAAAGTAAGTTTGAGGACGACTGAACGAAACATATAACTTCGCCAAACAAACTTTTGATTTGTATTAAATTAATATTCATAAAGAATCTTATAAATAATTAGTACCCAACACATTCCACACCAAATCTCTGACTCCCGTTGCCAAAAAGAAGGGATGGAATTTCTAATGAACTTGAACAAAGATATTTGAAAGTGAACTTAAAGCCAATCAGAGAGTAAGCAGTAAAGTTTCATGCAAACTTTTTTCGCGATATTCCCACACTTGTGGGTGTAATTTCCCAAATCCGCGTTTTTGCGTGCGTTTTTCCATTTCCAGTATTTTTAAAAGATAAAGCTTTTAATGAATCATTGGTCATACTGCCTGAACTATCCGAATTGAATATCTTGTCTGTCGGATAAGTGCAGCCGCTCTTAACAAACTTAACGATTGGAGTAGAAAATGTTGGGGCTACAAATTCACAGCCAAAACTCAAGAAACAAAAAGAGCTTTCAGCCCGGCCAGAGTCGCACCAAAACCGGTAACAAGCCACAGCAAAAAGTAAGAACATCAGGCCAACAAAAACAGAAGAAAAAACAACAACTGTTTGTGCCTGGTGCAATCGCTTAAAGGAAACCAGTTTCTGTCGGCAAAGCGACGCCACTTTTCTCACTTGCCTTTCGATTATGCCAAACTGCATTCTTGTGGATCTGGCTGCTGCTGGCTTTCCCGGACTGACCATCGTGTTCATCTTCGGCGTAAGTTTGGACTCGTGGCGCTCTGTTGCACTCGGCATGGAGCTCTGTTGCCGGCATACATAAGACTTTCGTTCAATTTTTTCAGGCAGCATAACAGTCAATTAACAACAGGCAACTCAGATGATGATGTCGACGCTGATGGCGGTTCAGAGCTTTATCGCAGTAATTGTAGCTGCGTAGTCGTCGTCTGAGACATGTTTCTAACATCTGTCGGAGAATCTTGTATTTACGATACTCTGTTGCTTAGTAAGCATAAATGTAAACTGAGAGATCTTTTAATCTTACAAGGAATAGCTCAGTTTTTTTTTGTTTTTTTTTTTTTCTGGCAATTATACGTCATAGCGGATTCTGCTCGATCTGCTCATTAACTTGGTTGATGTGCAGTTGCCTTGGAGCTGTTCGTGCCTGTATTTATCGGTGGTTGGTCGGATTATTAGTAAGCGCATTTTAATAGAGAATTTACTTCTATTGTATAACACCTAAAAACTGCAGTTTACGTTAATTTCTTATTGAAGTGAGTATAGTATATCCCACTTAGAATATCCCACAGCTTAGCTGACATAGATCGAGTTGTAAATGCGTCAGTGTTCGAGCAGAGAAAAAAAAAACAGTTTAGTTTAAGACTCTTTTGATTTATGATTCATTTTAAGCTCGTTTTAGAGCGCGTTTTGTAAACCAAAGAATTGATGCCATGCTCTGTTAAAAATGTAACTAGATAGTCAAATGTTATAGCTTTTCTAGGAGGAGCTGAGCAACTCATTCACGTGCGGAGTGTAAAAAAGTGTTCCTTACCTGTCACCATACTCAGTGTGGTTTACTTAGTGGGTTCTTTTCCAGCTAACTGGGAGCACACATGTCGGGCTTCCTCCCGTAAATAGTTTTTGGCTCTGTTTGCACGTCGCGCCGCTTTATCGATTGCCACATTGGACTCACCTGCGAGTCAAATCATATATTTAGGCGCCTGGCTGAGTGGCAACATCTGTTGCGAGCGACAGAAGTTGTTTGTGCCAACTAAACAAATTGTTGGAGGGAGCATTGGAACTGCGAGCGATAAAACTGTCACACTCTCGCGCACAATTAAATTGATTTGGTTCTAAAAAGCCACAATGGCCCACGGCCCAAATCCCACCCACCGCCCATCGCTTGCTGCCCGTTAACAATAACAATCAGAGCAGAGAATGGGGCTCAAAGCACCTGAAATAGCAGTGAAAAGTGTCAAGCTTCGTTGGCTTCGAATATACGCTGGCTGTCACGTTCAGAAATTGTCGGGAAGTGTGGTTTTTCAAATCTAACTGATAATCTGCATAAGGTAGATACTGCTCGTATCTAATAGTAATCGCAGTTGAAATTAAAATAACATCTTTGGGACGTTGCACGAGGATTATAAAACTGAATTTATTTGGCTCGCTGTCACGCGCCCTTATCTGAACAAGACACAACTCAACAAAATTTAAAAGCTAAAATGTTTTACTTAATATGCCAGATAAAGTAGCAGCAATGTTTGCCAATGTCATCTCGAAATGCTCAAACGCGTAGTACGTAGATTTTGGATACATACAAAGTTCTTGATTGAATAACCAAATTCGGCGAGCTCAACAAGTTTGCTTAAGACGTGCAATCTAGTCCATCTAGATCTACAGATAGAACTATAATTATATACATAAAGTTGATGCCTAACCATCTTTTTGTTCTTCTATAGGAAATGCATTCAAGACATGCAACAATTTGTAAATATTTTATTCATTTCGTTTAAAAGTTCGTTACTTCTGAAAGGAATGTTTAGGTTGGGACTTTTGAAATTCTTTTGCATAGGATTTATTTATGATTCAGGTGAATTAACATAATTTTGAATTCTATCCGCATAAGAGAATATTGTATGCATATGAGCTATGCATGTTAAGCCATTTATGAGTATGTCGGATTTTGATGTTTGATTGTTATTGATTGCTCGCTCCGCTTCAATCAGCTGCATATGATTATGATTCTTACACGAGTCTAACTACTTGCTCCAAGTGTAAATATGCCAATTGACAGTCAAACGAGTTGTGTGCAAACAGGTTTTCCAATGAGTGAGTGGGCTCTGTCCGTCTGTGTGTGTGTGCGCTTGTTGTGCCTGTATGCAACTGAGTCATTCTGTCATTTTTGTTTGGCATTCGAAACAGAGTGAATACCTCTTCGTACTGCTCAAGCACTGGCACTCCTCAGGCATTTCCTATGCCAGTAACACGCAGATACAAATGCAGATACCAGCACAGCTGCTGCACATATCCGTGCAGCTATCAGCGGAGCTAAAATCAGCACCATCCACCAGCCAGGCAAACCGTTGTTTTTTCTCTACCTGAAAGGCAATTCAAATCGTTTACTAAAGTCCGCAATGGACATGTGGCTGGTTGTAGCTGGATCCCAGCTCTGAATAGAACCCAAAGCCGTGCCACGTGCAACAAGCATATGCCAGCCGCATTATTATCGGAGCATGGCTTTGAGTCTAGACCGATGGCAGATGCGCCCGATTGCAATGGCTGTCGAACGAATTCTATTCTTTTGGCATGAGCCTCGAGTTTCCTTCCTTGCATGTGCGAGTGTGTGTGAGTGTGTGTGTGTGTGTATCTGTGGGACGGACATTCTACGCATGAACGTACATAAGAAAATGTTTAATTTCTGCTTGCTTGTGTACATAAAATGCTGTCATATTCTCTGTTTTCTCTTTGACTTCCGTTTGTTTTCTTTCTTTTTCTCAAGTGGTTCGTATTATCTGTATTTTTTTGTCCTGAAAAAATTGGTGTTCTCTTGATGTGTGCAATAACATATGTTACATACCAATTGAATAAAGTTAAAAAGGATTTAGACGCATTTGCTTGATGAAGATTTGAGCAAAGGACTCGCAGGCCTAAATTGGTTTTCCGCTGCAATCAATACAACAGAAGTCATGGGTTGCAAAATGCCGGCCTCGATAGATGCCGATAGATGCAACCATGATGCAGAATTAGTTTTTTCACACATCCCATGCACATCGATGCCAGCAGTTCCCATAAGGCACCGCTCAGATAAACTCTATGCTGTCGTGATCAACGCCCAATTTACAGCTAATAATTACGCACTTCAAGAGCAGAGAACGCGGCAATGCAGCTGGAAAATAGGGCCGACTGCATTGGCCTGGGTGCATAGAAATGTCTACCCTCTGCCCCCTAAGCGCGCCCTTGCCTCCTGGGCAGTTAAGGGTGCCTTTTATTGCCGCCGTGTGAATTTTTCTATGCGCACTCGGAGCGTTCGTAGCATCAAACGGAGACGAGAGGCTTTGTCTTCTTGAGGAGTAACAAATCTTACGAAAAGCTGACTCTGTGCTAACCCCTTTTACTTTGCACAGATTTCGACTGAGACAACTTGACTCGCGGGAATTTTGTGTTTCACTTCGTCTAATTTTTGCACTAAATCTTCATCTCACATCCAGCTTGGTATTTCCTTTAACTTTAAACTTAGCCGGCATTGAAAATGCATGTGTAGAGCCGAATTACCGCCTTTTTTTTTATCAGGGAAATATGTTTAATTACAATTATTTATTAATTTACTAAACGTTCTTTGTTTCCTGCTCATATATTTTTCTATGCCATATTAATTTAACATTCGTTTTTTTTTTTTTTCGAAAATTCTCACGACCACCAACACAAACAGCGAGAGAAAAAATTCAAAATTCCGACACTCTGACAAGCAACCCTCCCCCTGATAGGCTTCACACAAAAAACAATATACGTAGTTGTTGGGTCTCTTCGCTAAGGACGACGCTGGCGAAAAGGACGTGGTCGTGGTCGTGAACACATTAGGCTTCAGCTGTGGTGGTTGGTTAGCACTGAATACCCCTCTGCCGAAGCCAGAAGACAATGCGCAGGGCGGCATAATTATAATTGCATATTAAGTACTCGCAGGAAAGCTGGCTGAACGAAAAAAAAGGAAGCCATAAATGTATATCCTTTATTGTCCGTTCTGCCCGGGCCACCATAAAGCGTGTGAACTCCCGAATGCATCCAGGAATGCAAGTTCACATTGTGACACTGTGTCATTGAGTCGACCTGAGCTGTACAATTCAAATGCTTCGATGGATCTTTTCACCGATGAGCTGGGTTTGATGGGTTCGGCTTCATGAAGATCTCTGTATTTAGTGGGTCTTCTTTTTTGGGCTTAACAATATTCTTAGCCACTGATCCTCGCATCCAAGTCATTAGCCGAATATAATCCGTCGAATATTTTGTGTTAAACTTTAACTGGTGCTAATCCTTAAGCACAATTTAGCCCTGCTTGCTATTAATGTTTAAGTTAATGGCAGGATCTCTTGCAATTTGGCTTTCCCATGCAAGTTGACCAAAGCTGGATAGACGCAGATCTGGTCAGTGTCCAACTGTCTAGAGTATCATCACTTGGCAGCTTGTGGGTGCCAGCTTGATTGTAGTTATACAACCTTAATTATAAGCACACATGTATAGTACACCCAATATCTTCCGATATATGAACGTACATATAAAGATATAGATATAGACATGCGTCTAGTTCGGTGTCAATGACTGCGCTGCAATGTGATCGTGAGGGTTAATTGTTTAATGGCGTCTAAAGGCAAAAATTGCCATTTTCAGTGGCACGCTAATTTACAGTACTTCATTATTTAATTATGTCATAGAATAATGCCATGTACTGCAGATCAGCGACATACGATTTAATCACGTACATATATCATGTTTGTCTGCGATCCAACGAATTGGTTACTCACATGCTTCGATAAAGGGTATTCAGACTAAGAAGAAATAGAAGATGATGATGATTATAAGATTATAAGTCATGCATAAATTGGAATCTGGAAATAGCTTTCTACTATATAAATAAAAAGTAAATATTGAGAATTATATTAAATACATAATTGGGTAAACAATCATCACATCTACGCGTTGATATACTTATAAGCATTGATATTTTGGTCGAGTGAAACCTGTTTTTTGGTCTGTTGGTTGAATGAACCCCCTTCAGATAATGTTCATTTTTGGTCCAATGTTATTTTTTATGCGTGACTTAATAGGCTTTTTAAATTCTACAGTTTCATTGACCATTTTTTGTATGTGTAATACGTGTTATTTAATCACTTTCTTGGCGCATGAATCACACTTTGAAAAGAATAAAATTTTATTGATAGTAACAAGGTAGCACAGTTATCTTCGTGCGTTTCTAGATTAAATACCCTTCCAGACATTAAAGCAGATATAAGATATGCGGCACAGCGGTAATTTTTATTAAAAAATCAATTATTAGTCTAAAAATTAATCAGCTAGGCATTTCGTGATCAAAGTATATATACATATATATCATTTGGGTATAAGCTCTGAATGTGGTACATGACGCTTATCGTATAGTCTTTCACTTTACATACAATATAAATAAATATATACATATGTATATTCCAAGTATATAGGCGTGTTACACTCTCTTTTAGACCAACTTCTTTGAGACTGTAAAGTGTTTGTTAACCTATTTTGAAAAGCGAAACACAATACACTCAGAATGACCCACTTTGAAAAGCAGCAGCTATGGCCAACACAAATCTGAATCTCACGGCTTAGGCCCATAATTCGATTAGCTAGCTGACCCTTTCCCAAAGTCGCAGTCACGCCCAGTTCCCAATAACGTTGCTTCTGGCCAAAAATGTAGTCAAACAGCAACCAGCAGAATGGACCAAGTCGATGCAACTATCAGAAAGCAAAGCTTTAAACTCTCGAGTGCCCTTGTAGAAGCCCCACCAGCTCTAAGAACCGTCAGACAGTAGAACTGGGCGTTAGGTAACAAAGAGCCCAAACCTGTTTTGTAACATTTACAGTTTATGAGTGGGGAACTCTTAAGAAGAAAGCTGCTTGTTCTTCCTCAGTCTGAGCTGGCAATGCAGTTAGAGCTGAACTCCCAGCCACATTTAATAGAGATATTTTCGGTCATTTTATTTAGTATTTTAGTATTTATTAGTACTTAGTACGTTTTACTATACATAAATACTTCCGCTCTTTAGAAATGAATTTTACATAAGGACTCAAGTCTCATCATCTTTCCTCAAAGCATTTTTTTAAGAACCAATTTTAGTGCATTTTTTTTTGCGAGCGTTGATTTTGCTTTAGGCAAATCGGCGGGCGAGTCGGGTAACTCGCTTGGTTTGTTGCCCGGGGGTGCGGGAATTACGTTTAAATTAAAGCACACACAGTTTACCGCAATATGAGACATGTGATAAAGTCACAAAAACGTCAGCGTAAGTCGCCGCAGCGCAAAGAAAACAAAAGCCCCACAAAGTATAAATAAATAGGAGCGTTGAACAAAAAGAAAAGCAAAAATTAAAAATATGAACAAAATAAAAAATAAAACTAAATATGTGTAAACAATTACGTGAGACAGGCGATAAGCGAACTGGGCCTGGGCCTGGGCCCGGGCCCGGACCCGTTGTCAACGTGTTTAGTTTGGAGGTTGCTCAGGCTATTCTCACATGGGCTTTGGGAGTAGCCGTAGCCAGTTGAACTGAAGATTCGAGCAGGAAGGTTGGAATTGTCGTTGTCGTTGTCATTGCCTAGTCATTGCCCATTGTTATAATACTATAATACTTAAATTATTGATAGGTTCCGATAGATACATATCTAAGTTAAATGTGGCTGTCGTTTTAATTTTGAGGGCGTTACCTCGTTCGACTCTCACTCGATAAGCTGAATGTGAGTCACAGCCGGAATGGAATCAATGCGTATCAGAAACGTCAAACAGCTGCTCGATAGTGTATGTTGTTGTAGTGTAGTATCGGGTAGTTGTGTCCCTAAACAGTCTTCACTCGTTTTGAATACATTGCAGATCGATCGCATGCGAGCAACAGAAAGTCGTCAATTAATTTAATCAAAACCCATAAATCAAATTTAATGAACAAATAAATTTGCGCACGCAACAAGCCAATAAATAGATCAATAAAATAAAATAAAATAAAATACAATAAAAAACAATAAAAAATTATAAAATACAGTATTTATATATCATCTATCATCACGAGAGTGCCATTTACAAGATAAGCAACAAAAGATATAACGAGTGAGCGAGAGATAGAGAGAGAGAGAGAGGAATACAAACTGCAAGCAGCTGTCATCTGACATCTGGCAACGCCGAGCCTGTCTGTTTAAAGCCGTAACGGTTATTGGCAGCATTTTACTCACGCAAAAGCCAACGCCAAACCGGCTAGGCACAAGAGTTAGTCAAGAGAGACAAGGACAGCGACTGCTCAGCCAGCTATACAGTGAGAGGGAGAGAGCGAGCAGACAACAAGCATGGGAAACTCTTCGTCACACACGCACGAACCACTGGAGCGCGGCTTCACACGTGGAAAATTCGGCGATGTCAAGAATGGGGTAGGTAACAACAACAACAACAACAACAACACAGGGGTTGATCGCGCCGGCACTTGTTTCTCTTTACTGTCTGGCATTAGGCACCTTATATGAATCCGTTTCCTAATATTTCTATTCGCATCTATAGAAATCCGCCTCGTTTCGGTTTAGCAAGAAGTCGCCCAAGAAGATGGATCGACTGCGACGCTCGTTCCGGGATTCCTTTCGCCGCCGCAAGGATCGAGTGCCCGAGTCCTCCAAGCCACACCAATGGCAGGCCGACGAGGAGGCCGTGCGGTCCGCCACCTGCTCCTTCTCGGTCAAGTACTTGGGCTGCGTGGAGGTGTTCGAGTCGCGCGGCATGCAGGTCTGCGAGGAGGCGCTCAAAGTGCTAAGGGTGAGTCGAATAGCATACGATCAATTCTGAAATCAATTTAGATACGGCATTTTTCAAAGAGAATGGATCCACATAAAATGTCATTGAAAACTTATTCTTGACACATAATTCTTTGCTCCATCGTAAAATTAATTTTTATATTATTAAATTAATTATAGAAGGTACATAGATTAGATTTAAAACATCGCATATTGAAGCTCATAACTTCCGAGAGTTAATATATCTTGTTGTCATGATCAATGCAGATGTTAGAACTAGCCGCATCGAACAACTAGATCATTCAAACGAAACTTTGAACGTTGTCTAGAAATCTTAACGAAACTTGTTATCAATTATTCCCACAAGAATAGATAGATATTACTTTCTTCTTCACCTACGGCCGTGAAAATTTAAATCTAATAACTTCATCTGGAAATCATGTCCAAAGTCCATCAAACAAAGAACCAATAGTTGGAATTAACGTACTATAACCCATTCAGGTCTTGTGTGAGAAACTTAGACATTCGTTCCGTGCGGTGAATTTTGTGAAAAACGTTTAAAATGAATATCAGGAATATATTTGAAAATTTGTTTGAAACCGATAATAAACAAAAATGTGCCAAAATGTCCCATACCATACCCTCTTATTATAAACCTCTTTAAATGAGGTAAACATTTAAGCTTCCTGGATCTTATGGTAATCGAATTAGTCGAATTAGAAGTTTGATATTTTTCAGCAACTACGAGGCTTACAATTCTCTTTACATACTTGCAAGGTCGTAAGGCATATTCTTACGAGTCACTTATATGCCTATTTATTTTCATATATATATTAGGTTTAACAAACTTTCAGGGGGTGCAGGATATAAAAATTAAATTGATTATTAAGAAAGAAAATAAAGAGCGAAGTTTCCATGTTTCATGCCTATAAATAAAAAGAAATAGTCGTTCCAATTTTCTCGAATTTAAGTAGTCTAAAATTTGTAATTACAGTTTGTTTTTGGATCGTTAATTCTTAGGGTAACTTTTTAACGCAGTAATTTAAAATTTAATTTCATTCAATAGTCATTCAACATATTAAATCAACACGTTACTTATCAATATTATTAATTGTTTTGCAGCAATCCCGTCGCCGTCCAGTGCGAGGCCTTCTCCATGTGAGTGGAGATGGGCTGCGTGTTGTGGACGATGAGACGAAAGGTCTTATTGTTGACCAGACCATTGAGAAGGTGAGCTTTTGTGCGCCGGATCGCAATCACGAGCGTGGATTCAGCTACATTTGTCGCGACGGAACCACTCGCCGCTGGATGTGCCATGGCTTCCTCGCATGCAAGGACTCCGGCGAAAGGTTATCCCATGCTGTGGGCTGCGCTTTCGCCGTTTGTCTGGAGCGCAAGCAGCGACGCGACAAGGAGTGCGGCGTAACGATGACCTTTGACACAAAGAACTCGACGTTTACGCGTACCGGCTCCTTCCGGCAGCAGACGCTCACCGAGCGACTGGCCATGGCTACTGTGGGCAGCAATGAGCGCTCTGTAGATGGACCCGCGCTTCCCGGACCGCCTGCCGCCACGGTCAAGCCGTTCAATCCGTTCGCCATCGAGCGGCCGCACGCCACACCGAACATGCTGGAGCGGCAGAGCTCCTTCCGGCTAAGCACCATTGGCAGCCAGTCACCATTCAAGCGACAGATGTCTTTGCGCGTCAACGATCTTCCGTCCAATGCGGATAGGCAGAAGGCCTTCCTGGCCGCTGCTGCCGGCAACCCGCATCCACATGCGTTGCACACTCCACAGCGCAGTGTATCGCCCATTGCGGAGGTCTCGCCGGTCAAGAGTGGCAATAATGCTGTCGTCTTGGCGGCCGATACAGTTAGTCAGTTGTGCCAGGAGCTCAGCCAGGGCCTGTCGCTGCTCACGCAGACGGACACGATGCTGGCGGCCGGTGACGATCTGAACTTTAACAACAATCGCAGCATCAACCAGAACATCATTGCTGCCGAGAAGCAGCAGCAAGTAATCTCGTACAGCACCAGTGGCAGCGGCAGCGCCAGTGGCAGCGGCACGCCTACAGCTCAGGTGACACCCTTTGTGGCTGGCGTTCCGCCAGTGCAGTCGCCAGACGTTGATGCTGTCGAGCTGCCCAATGCCGAACAGTGGCTGGGCCAGGTGGTGCGCACCACTTCGCCCGCTGTGCCGCCCAAGAGACCCAGCTACTTGGCCAATGTAGGACGCGCTCAGACCGTGTCAGCGGGCTCCACGGTTGGCGGTGCAACTGATCCCGATCCCTTCGATGCCGAATGGGCGGCCAATGTAGCTGCCGCCAAGAAAATGTCGCCGGATGTGCTGGGTTCGGGCACAGGAATTGGGGAAGCAGCTGCTTCAGGCACAGGAATGGGCTCAGTCAGCGCCAGCAGCAGCAACAGGCACAGCACGAATCCGTTTATCTCGCCGCCCAAGGCGCCAGCGCAAACATTCCAGGTGCAGCTGTAGGCAGTGCTTCAGCGAGGGGACGACGGGCTGGGCACGAGGCGATCCAAAGTGTGGTTCACTTGAAAAACGTAACTTAGTGTAATGTGGCAGACAGCACAGAGCGTTAGATAGATTAAAGATAAATAGAAAGATAAAGATAAAGATAAATATACTGCTATTCGATTCCAGGTACTTAACGCAAACAAAACAATTGTTGAAATATACTATTAAAGTACATTAACGGCTAAACCGTTCAATTTACGCTACGCATAAAGTAAAGTTAACTACGCATATAAGCAAAACATACACACACACACACACACACACACACACACCTGTACACCTGGCCACGTGTTTGCATAACACGCATATTTAACAATCAGCACGCCGAATTAGACCAATTTACCAGGTTACCCACAAGACCACCTTAGAAAAAAACAACAGCAAGAACAACGAGTGCACTTCTCCATTATGCTTAGTATTTACCTACACACATGCACCTGCATGCACCTGCATTCACCTGCATGCACATTCATATGTGGTTAATGTTTATAACTGTTATTCTTGGATGCAGCCTTCCACAACTTCTTGATCGATGACATTCGAGAAATTCACATATACATATGCTGACTACCATACATATCGTACATACATACATACATATATATATATATAATAAAGCTTGTGTATATGTATATCAATTATTCAATATATGTATGCCGAGGGCCAATGTTTTGTCTGTCACTTTTGATTTACGCGTCTCTATAAATATGTCAATTTTTTTTAATTTAATTTAAATTAATTTTAAATTGTACAAATGTATTATACTTAAATTATAATATTAATTTAACAAAAATAAACTTCAAGTTAATTCACAAACGCTTTCTACTGCTCTTCGACTCTGCAGGCACTAGCAAAACATTCGATTCAAATCCAAACATGAAATGAGGTTTTTACATTTAGTTTATCGCAGCGCTATAATTAAACATTATTCTCTTATCTCTTATCTTTCTAACAAACGCTCGCTGCCGGTTCGAGGCGAAGCCAAGAAATCGTTCTGAGCCACAACCAAAAGTCTTTTATAATTTAGATATATTCCTCTCGGTCAATAAACGCTTTATAACGTGTTTCTGCTGTAAGCCAAATTGTCTCTCTTTCATTCAGTTGCTAAAAGCATTGCCAACTATAAAATATACTTTCGATTTATATATGAACATTCGGTAGTATCCAATGTAACTACAAATTCATTCGAATACTCGAACATGCCAGTCGCCTATTTCTTATTCCTTCAGCTGCACACCATGTGGAATTTGATTTCAAGTAGCTTGGGTCCTTATAGTCCGATATTTGTATAATTCTCTAAAACTGGGCGGCCTGGGCAAAATAAAAAATAATAGCATACTCTTATTAATAATAATAAAAATAATAATAATAGTAATAAACAGCCTGCAGCGCGGGGTTCCCCTCTGACTCTCGTTTTAAATAGATTCTCCAGTTTTATTTATGACCGAAAACTCATTTAAAAACTTATTCTTCGACAAAATGTTATTATAGAGCTATATGAAATAATCCGATTTTAATAACGTGGTAAGCAACTGTCTGAAGTGACTTTATGACTCAGGGGATAATCTGACCACCATATAGCAATGATTTTTTTTGTGAAGTTGGCGAAGCGGCGGGCTGTTCGGAGAATAGAAAAGACGTTGAGCTTACTTGATAGCCGAATCGTATAGGCTAAAGGTCCCGCAAATAATATACATAGGTATAGTGATATTTGACCACTCATGCAGTTAGAACCAACTTTTCTTTGGGATCTTCCTCATTTGATAAGCAAACATCATTTGTTACCCTACTGCTAGTGATGTGAATCAAATTGCGAATAAAATAGAAAAAACCTGGAGGGCATAATGTTATAAAGTATAACACTTTGTAACTAAAATCTAGATAAGATAAGAATTTCAAGTCAGGATTTCAAGTAAGTTCACTCTATTTTTTTGATCTTCAGAAAGTTTTGACCCGTTAGTAGGGGTCAGGGGTAGAGACAAGTTGTTAGCTTTGACTCTAAGTGCACTTTGAGGGCAATTGTAATTTCTATTGTAAAAGGAATACATATATAAGATATCATAAGCGTGTATAACTATGTGTATATGTATGTATAAAGTTTTCTGTTTTGTTTATTGAAACATCGTTGGCTCTTGCTGGTTTGAAGTAGGTTTTAAATCGAATCAGGGTATGGCTTACGAATATCTGCAATTCACTCATTCATTTGGATTGTGTGTTTAATTAAATATCAATAATATTTCCTAATCCGCCCCATTTACGCTGTTAATTCACATAAATTTGTAGCAGGCTGCATTGAACTGCTTGCAGCATCCTAAAACTGCTTGTGTATCAGCTAAGCAGTGCACTACATTAATAGCTAATACAGAAACCATTTATCGATACAGCTATTTAACATTGGCACATACCTTTGGGCGGATCGGAAAACGAGATTTTACAAGTTTTAAGGTAAGGGCATATCAAGTTAATTAATCAATAGAATGTATATATGTATATTCGTTATTAGTCGACAGTCAACAGTCGAGCCGAACCAACAAGTTCCTTCTTTCTTAAATCTAATCTGATAGTTTGTATTAGCAGCACAAGAGTGTTGCTTCCTATTGAACTGTGACATTCTTTTAGGCTTAATAGATTGAGTTTGTGGAATGTTTGTTCACAACAGCAATCTTCAGAATTTCAGAACACAATTTAACATAATTTGTGTGTTTATATATTGAGCATCATTTCAGATCAGCTTTCCGTTTAAATCGATAGATTAGATAGAGTAGGGCAAAAGGGTTATGTAAAGAAATCAAGAGCCATGCCTTAAGGGTTAAAGATAGAACACGTAATTTTATTTATTCAGCTTACTATCCACTTTGGAAAACTTGCAATATTTGAGAAAAGCTGAGGTTGCCTCGCTTTTCCACTTCGACCTTAGATGCTTGATCAACTGATCAGCTTCCCTGGGGCGTGCTCTCTGATGTCTCCCAGTGTCATTGTGTGTGCCCTATTAAGCCGGCGAAGAAAAATGCTCCAACGGGCTGCAAATTAATGACTTCCAAGTTCTCGCACGAAAACGAACTCGGAAACGTGAACAAAACTGTGAACGGGAACAGACCTTTTGGCTTTTGTGCGGCTCTACTGGCGCAATTTACGATCAGTCCATGGAGCTGCACCATTGTCCGCAATGTTTATGCAATGTAATGTGATTTTATTGCAGCAGCTGAAGTTTGTGGAGCTGCTGTATTCCGCTTTCTTTACAGGCGTTGGAGCATGCCATAAGGCCGAAGCATAAGTAGATTGCGATCATGTTATTCTTCTTGCTTCATTCCCCGAATCCTCTCCCCGCCTGATACGATCAAATTGTTATAGTCCTTCAAAAGAAGCCTGTAACAATTATGGCACGTGAGACGCAATTGAGACTTTTCCTAAATCCTTGAAGATTTCCCAGAGGATAACTTGGCCACTTGGTCACTCTGGTCCAGCCACTGCCTGTCACTAGCAGAGGGCTCCCCGAGGCTCAATTTGAAAACATTGATGCTGCCACCACGGAGCATATTAGGTTGACCTATTCTGCCCGTAGCTGATCAGCCGGCAAGTTGTGTGCCACTTTCGGTTTCCAGACTCTACAGTTCCACATGTGAATTGTGCAGAGAATGTATGTTATCGGGTCTGTATGTTAAGCATTTCCAGGCCGAAACTCATGCCAAGTCCCAATCGTCTGAATGTGGCACAAACAGTATCAATTACCAATTGTTTATATTACAACGTGTTATTGATGCTGCTGTTGCTACCACAATTGCCGCAGTGCATGGTGTTCGGTCGGTCTTTGTTTGTGGCCTGGTTGGCCAGAGCTTCGGTCGGAAACTTTGTAAATCCATCAATTGCTCGTTATCTTGATCAGGAGCACCGCGCTCTGTCTGCAATTTGTTCAAGGTTTGGCGGAATCTTTTCGTTGTTTGAGTTTAACAAATAACGATTTTCTTATGCGACTCTTAATTTAACTAATGTCACTTTATCACATACACGTTTATAGAAAAGGAAATGCAATTAAAATGAATTGTTTTTAGGTCATGATGGTCGTCTTTTATTTATCGAGTTTAAGAGTAGAAAATGGAAAGGTAGCTACTTCAATGCATTATAGACCTACCAAATTAATTATTATTAAATTGCATGATATTAAATTAAATGATCCAGCTGCAAATACTCTCAATACTCACATATTCAGCAAATTAATCGGTGGCATAAGTCCTTACCTATTGTATTAAGTTTGAAAAATATTAATTTTTTTGCTTATGTTTTCAGATATTATTTTTCACATTCGACATATTATCTCAATCCCTAAATTATAAATGTACTCAGAAATGCCATGAGGTAAAAACAACAGTTAAAAAATTTAATATGAATAGAATTAAGGATATAAAGCGTTAAAATTAAATTGAATGTAAGTTTCTTTAATCCGGAGATATAAATATATATTACGCTTTAATGAAATAAGCCTTTATTAGAAAAGCTAAATTCGTAAAAAGCTTTAAGCTGCTGCTGCTTAAGTACCTTTTGTTACAAGTTGTTTTTCGTCACCAGGTGGAGCATCGGCTCGTTGGTCTAGGGGTATGATTTCCGCTTAGGGTGCGGGAGGTCCCGGGTTCAAATCCCGGACGAGCCCAAGTTTGTACATTTTTATTTATGTTTTATTTTGTCATTATTTATTGTAAAAAAAAGAGAATTACTTGGGCTCGTCCGGGATTTGAACCCGGGACCTCCCGCACCCTAAGCGGAAATCATACCCCTAGACCAACGAGCCAGTTATCTTAGGTCAACATTCTTAAATTTAATAATAGTGTTTATGTTTTCAATTTTAATTTGTTGGTTATTGGTTAAATTATAATTTAGCGTTAAAACTTCATATAATTCAATTAATTCGGTTGTTATTTAATCATGCAAAACAAGAAAATACCTGTTATCTACTTTTACTGAACCAAATAGCTTTGTTGACATGAAATCGCCAGCTGGCTCGTTGGTCTAGGGGTATGATTTCCGCTTAGGGTGCGGGAGGTCCCGGGTTCAAATCCCGGACGAGCCCAAGGAAAATAAGCTTTTTACCAAATTTTTTAACTTCAAATTATAAACAATTTTGCATGTTTAATTTTTTTTTTTTTCACAAATAACGACTTAATTGTAAATACAATAAACATATTTTATTTGCCACGAACGTGACTTAATTAAAATTGCATCAGTAGTAAGAAATTTGAGTAATACCAATGGTTAACAGAACAAATAGAGTTTAATTTATTAATATTTATAATGCACTTACATTTTTTATATGTGATTTATATATTTAGGTATATATCTCGCAAAACAATTTTGATATTAAAGACAAAAACCTAACAAGTTACTTATATGCACGTAAATTCATACTGACAATGCCATATGTGTATAAATAGTTGAGCATAACATTTATGGTCTGTTTTTTTTTTCGATTGTCCTAAATACTACATAAGTAAATGACACATTTAATGGACATAGAAACTTTTGGGTAAATGTAACAGATACAATACGATTATAGAATAACTGATAAATCCATTTCGTCAAATAGAAAATTGAATTCTTGCCAATAATTGATATTTTAAATAGTGGCTAGTTTACGATGATTTTGTTGTTGTAAGTGTTATTGGTGCTGTGGATATTATGATTAGTTTTTCCATTGCTCAACGTCCTTTCCAGCTTACGGCGGAAGGGGGCGAACATTTGTTGTTGTTGTTAGTATAACTCAATCTTTTTCTCGTTCTCGCTCTTAGTTACGAGAAGCTGCAGCAACATCACCAACATCATCTTTATTAGCCATGTTTATATTTATGTATTTCCGTTCGATTTTGCATTTGGTTTAAGTTATTTTTATATGTTAAATATTTATTATAATAATTTATTTATTATTAGCACTAATTATTCTTTGGTTATTCCACTGGTTTTGTTGTTGTTCGTTCTTGGTTATGGTTTTTCATTTTCAACTGTTTTGTTTTTCGTTTTGTTTTTCATTATTTCATTGTTGTTCATTGTGCTTTTTCCTTTTGTATTGCATTGTCGGGGTTGTGCTGTTGCTGTATGTTAATGACGGCAGCTGTTTTATATATTCGTTTGTGACTGGGTCCCTTTGAATTGGGCAGGCTTCTAATACCTGATGCTGATGCTGATGCTGATGCCGATGCTGATGCTAATGCTGATGCTGATGATGATGCTGGTGATGTTGGTTTTGCAGTGGATTTTCGTAAATTCTTTCCAAACGTTGAGCTCGGTTTTAGACCTTGAAAAGAGACACAGAAAATTCATGTTAGATACTTTGGTATATGCAAAATATAATGTTACGAATAAATGTGTTGACATATGTGTTCGTGTGTGTGCCGTATGTTAATGGAAAACAACATTAGTTATATCTTATACACCAAAAACTAATAGATCACGTGGACATATATCGTTGCAGTAGGGAGAGATAAGAGATTAGATAGATAGAGGGCGACAGTGAAGTACGTGTAAACAGTGAAAAGAGATTCTTATTCGGCGGTGCGCAGACCAACGTAATAGGAAAGTGAAATGCATTTCGTTTACCTTGAAAACATAAACGATTCTGATATATGGCAAATATATCGCAGGGCTTGTAGCACGGCTCATAGGCTAGCTCTTCGCCAGTGCTTTCGATATCGTTGCCGGAATCAGAATTGCTTGTGGCAGACGTTTGGGAACGACTGAGCTTATTGGAGGGTATCACAAACTGGTTTTGCTCCATTTTGTCGGGCGCTCTCGATGCTGTTACGTGGTCTGTGTCTGGGTCTATAGATGCTGTTGGATTGATTCTTGTTGTGTTTGGTTCAACCATAATATGTGGTGGGCACTGAACAGGCTTTGGTTGTGATGTTGTGTTGTGGAAGATGGTAACAAAGTGTATTAGTTTTTGTTTTGGTTTTGTCTAATTTAGTGTTAGTCACAGATATTTGTTGCACAGTGTACTATATGTTTTGCCACAATTTCGGTAAAAGCTGCGCTCAGTTATATATCTAGCTATCTTACGATTCCAAAAACGAACAAAGCAGGGCTTACCTCGCTATCTTGGCATGCAGCGTCCTCTTTCGAACCTGTCGTCAGCCCCTGGACAAAGTGCACATCGCTGCCAGGATCATCTGAGGCCAAGTGTGCGCGAAATTGTCTATTTCTTTGATAAGAGTCAAATGAGTGAGCTGTATTCGAACATTTACTTGTAAAGCGTTTACCTCAGCTCCAGCTGTTGCATTTGTTGGAAGTGCCTCAACTTGCCGTTGGCCAGGTGCAGTTTTTCCTCAAGCGCAGCGTTTTCCACGCACTTTATGGAGTACTTCTCGGAAAATGACAAAATCTCTAGCCGCAGCTCATCGAGCTCCTCTCTAAAAAGAGTGTGGAAATAATTTAATAGTGTTCGAGCTGGGCAGACTGTGGTCACTTACTCCTTCAGCTTAGCGCCATCTCCACGCATGTGTTCGCCTCGCTGTACCTGATGCAGAAATTCCGCCTTGAAGCGTGCCACTTCACGTTGCACTTCGCTCTGGTGGGCCTTACGCATGGCATCCAGGGCGGCCAATGTTGCCTAGGGTTAAAGGTGTTGAGATCATGCTTGAAGCTAATGCAGTTACGACTACATACCTGTGTTTCCTCAGCTAAAGCGGTTTCCTTCTCCGCCAACAGACGCTCAATTTCTTGCTTGTGCTTTTCTTCCATATCGCAGATTAGGCGACGATGCGATGACTCCATAGCGCTCAGGCCCTTCTCGCAGAGTGTCTTTAATGTAAATTGTTAGATATAGCTTTAAGAATAAAGTGACTTGAAGATGGTGACATACCCTCAGCTGTTCGATTTCCGTCTGATAACGTTTGCGAAAGCTCTGCTCATCGGCGACATTGGCATGTTCGTGTCGATACACCTCCCTGAGGCACTCAAGCTGTTTGCCGTGCTCTCTTTCGAGCAGATCGAGACGTTTCTCCATCCGTTTGCAACGCTCCTGCTGTCGGCCCAGCTCGTCGCTTAGCTCGTCGCGCTGCTTCAACAGCTTCTGCTGCTCCTGCTCTTGGCTGGCGCACTTCTCCAGTGCGATCGCCAGTTCGTTTTCACGCTGCTCCAACAGCTGTTCACTTCGTTGGAGGTCCGTCTCGGTCTGCTGATGAAGTGCTGTCAGCTTCTCGACGCGTTGCCGAAACTCGCAGCACTTATGGCAGGAATCCTGCAGGCACGAGAGCTCCATTTGCTCGCTGACCATTACGCAGGTCTCGGTAAGAGCACGTTCCAATTGTCTAAGTCCGTCCTTGCGCTCATTGAGGGGCGAAACGGATCGACGACTGCGATGGCCCGCGCGCAGCAGCTGCAGCTGGTTTAGACTCTGTTCTAGCCGCTCCTTACTGCTGAGCAGAACATGCTCTAGACTATGCAGACGCTGCAGCAGATGGGAGTTCAAGGGCGATGATTGAATACTGGAATCGCTGCTGGACTCGGTGCTTGGGACAGTGCTAGCTGCAGGCTTGCGCTCCACGGTTTCTCTTTGGAGCTCAGTCAGCTTAAGCTCCAGTTGCTCCTTGCCTTTTAATGAGAGTGACCGCCTTCGTTCGGACTTGGCCAGTTTCTGCTTAAGCGCTCGCACCTGGCGCTCTGAAGTGCTGTACTTGATCGTCAAATCTTGAATCCGTGCAGCCATCAATTGGAGTTGGGCCCCATCTTCCATCTGGCTGCGTTCCAGTTTCTGCTGCAGTGCCGTCTGGATCAATTCGAGCGCATCGTACTGGTTCTGGGACTGTTTAAGCTCACGTTTCATAGCACGAATTTCATTTACCGCCTTCTCAAAGCGGCTGCGCAGCTCATTGTACTCCTCGGCCAGCGAGTCCCGCTGCAAGCAGTACGGATCTATATCGCTTATCGTGGTCAGATCACTGAGTGAGTCCATGCGCTTCATTTTGTGACGCTGCAAGTTGCTGAGACTGGGCACCTGGTTGTTGTCCGCCTGCAATTCGCGCAGTCGCTTGTACAGGCTCTCGTTCTCCTCAATGCCCTGCGCCAGACGATCCTCCAGCTGCTTGATAGTACACTGACTCTCCGTCAGCTGCACGCTCAGGCTATGCACCAGCTCCGCTGCACTTTGCTTGGCACTCGCCAGTTCACCGTTCAGCTGCTGCTGTTGTTCCTGCAGCCGGGCCGTGAGCTCCTGCTCCGTGCGCTGCAGTGTTGTGAGCAGCTCCGACATGCGTGCCTCGCGCAGCTTGGCTTCGGTACGCAACGTTTCGCATTGTTGCTTGAGCTCGCGGTCTGGCCGCATCTCTTCGGGCACGGCCATTAATGGCAGCTCATCGCTGGCCACACTATCGACCGTACTTCGGCGCGAGCTGGGTGGAGAGCTGCGGCTGCGCTTATGCAGACTAGCCAAGCTGCGATTGCGCAGACAGCTGCGTAAGACAGGTGGCGAAGGTGACAGCGGTGAGCCCCAGTCGAGGCTGTCCCGACGACCGCCCTCAGAGGCCGTGCGGTACTCCTCATCAGAGGAGAAATGTGGTGCATTTGCCGGGGTTCCAGGCGTGGCCGGACTAGAGCTGAGCGGGTGTGTCTGAAGCTGTGCCTTAATAAAGTCCTGCTCAATTTCGCTCGGCTTAATTACCGATGCCGTCACCGTCGTTGGCGAAGTCTCCAACTGTTGCGGTAGCCCTGCCGCACTCCTCAGTGCGACCAGCCAACTATTGCGCGAGCTGGGCGAGAGGCCGGCTAGAAACAGGCGCTGCTTGTCCCAGGTAATCAGTTGAAAGGCATGCTGTTTGCTGGCGCTGGGCTCTTCCACTACATTCGAAAGGCTGTTGACATCCAGGACGCCATCGAGTACGCCCCTTTCCTCGCACAGCGGATCTCTGTAGTAGAAGAGCGCCGCACCACATAGCGTGAACCAGTGCTTGCTCCACTCGCCCGTCCGATTATCCAGCTTCATTAACCAGCCTTTTTTCGCGTTAAGCGTATCCTTTAGGCTTTTGGCTGACGGCTTGTTGGACACTGTGCACTTATTGGCTTTGCTCGCAGGTCTCAGCTCATCCGCCTTGGCCAGGTAGTTGGCGCACAGCTCGTCCAGATTACAACCGCCATCGGGATCGCCACGTTCGTGCTGATAATGCTTTGCGGGTTTTAGCTGCAATTGCAATCGGGCGCCGGCTTTTCCGTTTTTTGCGCTCTCTACTCCTTGCTTAGGTTGTTGCTGCTGCTGCTGTTGTTGTTGTTGTTGTTGCTGCTGGGACACCAACACTGTGGGTATCTTTTTGACTATTGCAGATACAATTGCTGGCGTTGAGTTGGCCGCCAATGGTAATGACTTTGGTCTCAGATTGACACTCGTTTGCTCGGAGCTTGCGCTCGTCGATTTGCCGGTGGACGTCACTTGGAAATCGGTCTCATCACGCGATGTCTGGTACTGGTAATGATGGTGATTGTTTAGGGCATTGTTGACAGCCGTAGACCAACGCTTGTTCTGGTGTTGACTTAGATTTGTGTTAGCAATGTCCTTGATGGATTTCTCATCTCGTCGCATGTCCTCGATCAGCAAACAGCCCGTGGGTTGAGACACTGCAAGCAGAATCATTTTTGCAAGTCAATTATTGATATCAAATTATTGAGCCGACCCTCTGCCTAGACCATATGTCTTTTGTTCCCAAGGAAAAAAGTAATAAGAGCCCTCGATTGGAAGTTAAGTGCCCCAAGTGTTTGTTGAAGAAGCGCAAAACATAATACGAATAGGCATGTTGATTGCTCATAAACTATTCAGTTATCAGGGCCATTTATTAAAATTGGTTCTAGTCTTGCTTGAGGATTCCATTTCCCTGGAAATACTTGTGCCATCCATAGAGCCATAATCCGATGTGCGGTAAGTTATTTGTGTGCAAATATAGGAAAATTGTAAAAACGAGTTGAATGGTAAAAGGATCCCTGCGAAAAGATGCTCGATAACATGGTAAAACGTTCTCGTAAGAGAGTGACGAGATAGCTAGTGCCATAATTTTATTAACACCCAAACGAGCAAACGATGCATTGGCAACTATCAGAGGCATTGCTGCTGCAGTTGTCCCATAAATATATATGATTACAAAATATATATATTTAGAAGGCCTCTTGGCTTTGCTGGACCCGTTTCGCTTTATTATGATAATCATAAAAATTTCCAACTCGCCATTAAAACCAACCGTGTCTGTGCTTGAGTGGGCCTCAATTCGGTCAGTCGAACAGGTTGAACTCTTAGCCAACTTTTCGGACAGTCGAACTCCCTGCGTTTATCTTGATTATTTAGTTGTGGGCCCGGCACAAAAATAAAAAGAAGACTTCTTTCTCCGTAAGCTCAGATGCTGAGCTCCAGCATCAGTTGGATCACGACGGTCGCCTTTGCTTGAGGGACTGACTCACCAGGCAGGTTCAAGGTTACTGTGCTAAATGGTGGGGCATGCCTTTAATTAGCCGACTTGTCGGTCTCAGTCGTTTAAGAAAGGCAACGACCACTGAGTAGCCGTTGATTACGCTCAGCTCCAAAAGGTAAGCATGTATGTCTGTAGCTGAATTTATATAGCCTATCATATTATAAATACAAGCAGGCAAAATCACAACAGACATACACAGGGACCAGCCAAAGCCGTCAGTTTATTTCGCATTTTTTAACCGAATAGCTTACTAATCATACCCCGTCCATTCGCACTAACTATTTATTACCAATCCAATGCAGAAGAAATATTAAGCATTAAAACTGTCAAGACCTTGCGGCTCAACCTATAAACTAATAGAGGCTAACCTAGAAACCCATTACTGATATGCTTACTCAAATTCATGTATCTTTATATTAAGTGCATTTCTTCAATTAAACAAGAGCAAAAACACACTTTTTTTTACAATTGTAATCATTTTATAATTAAATAAGAAAAGTATTATAACAAAAATCTACTACAGGGTTCGTACTCACCCTAAATCCGAAAATATTCCTGAGTGAAAATTTCAGCTACATATCTTAATGTTGGGACTATATGTTGGTCTGGACAAACTCTTTTCTCAGCCACACATCTCTAATTACACACGTTTGATTAATGAAAACTGCAATTAAGCCACTTCAAACAATCCACTCAGTCATGGACAGCTTCCGCCTTGGTATAATAAATAATCAAATTCCAAGTTCATTTGCCAGTCCGGGCACATCTTTTGGGCAATAGTTGCTTGGCCAACCTAGCCTAAGGCAGCCTAAGGCAAGCCTTATACCATGACTTTGAAAAATTTCTAACTGACTGGAACGTTGGCATAAACTGAGCTTGGCGTCTGCCAGTAAACATACTCGCTGTCCTTATGAATATTGATTGGTTATTGGTGGTGCAAGTCTACAGCAATTTGTCTCTTTCACTCTCACTTCCTTACCCTCGCTTGAACAGTTTTACAAGCCGCAGCCTCATATGATTCTGCCCCTTGTTTCTCTTAGCTACATATTTAATTTTTCCTTTAATTGTGCATTCTGCATAATTATCCAGAGCGCATCAATAATAAGTTGGTTAATATGTCAGTATATGTTAGGTATTAATAAAAATTAATTATACCCTGAGCCAAATAAAAATGGGTAAAGAGGCAAATGAATGTAATATGCTGTCATCGATATCGATTTATCGAAAACGGGGTTAGTTATCGATTATCGGAAACAAACTCGTACTGCACGGAAACTAGGAGCATATGGACGGAAAACATTTATTCCAGTTATTAATTCTTGATTCGACCCATTAGTTATGTATATTTGCTGATCATTTGTTCGTCTACGTTCTTAACAACTGTGCTCTGGTTAATTAAAATTTATTTCAAAACATCTTTAGTCAAGCACTTATTAGCTTATTTTCTGTATTCTTTCGTTTTCTTTGCCGGTTTTAGCTAGAATTTGCCATTACCGCCTGCAGGCTCGTCATCAACTGGCAATTTATCAAATAAATATTGAGATTTGTTGTATGTGGCAAGTCCTCGAAGATTGGCGAGGATCAAGTAACGGCCTGAACCTATGCATGCAACTCTTTGTGGGCCAACAACCCCGAGTAGCAACAACGATGAACTGAACAACGATGCAGATACACTATAATTTAAGCGTGAATATCATTTTTCCATGAACAAGTATCCTACAGCAAGGCATGTGGGAACATTCACAGTAACTGCAATTACCAGACTGAGCCTAGAGAGCCCAGAACTCAAAGTTACTGCAAGCCTAAGCAAGGGCTGGGGCAAGGGCAGGGGCCATTTGGCCATTGTATGCGTCTGGTGGATCTAAAGAAAATTTATGAAGCCTACCATTAAGTAGGAAGCTGGAGAAAAGGTGGCCTGTTGCTGCACGCTTGTGACTTGAGTTGTTGTTACTGTGTGAATTCAAGGTTAATTTTGTAGCTGGGTCTTTAACTAGCTACACGCACGGACCGCAGCCCCTTCTCCGCTGGTCTGCACAGCCGTTGCGACGCATCGCCTCCCTTATGCCACCCAGCTCAGAGTCTGTCTGGGCAGTGCTTGATAATTTTGATTGCTGCAAGCCATAAATGATCATAAAAATTATAGCAGCCGATACAAAGAGGGCAGCGAAAAATAAAAAAACTAAAACAAAAACAAAAACTACAACATGCCTCGATAAGGAAGGGCGTATAAAATCACAATCATAAAACAGATTGTGCAAATAAATGCTTTGAGGCGAAAAGTAAAAGTCACTTTATCATCTTTATAATACCAACGTGTCGCGAACATATGTACATACATACATATGTTTGCTGCTGTTTATGTACATCAATGACTACCCAGTGCCAGATAAATGCTATGTCAAAATGTGTGCGTATCAAGTCTGCTCGTAAAGAGGGACAACTTGGGAAGCTGACTAGTGATTTAGGTGTTTATACACTCATAATTCGTTATTGCATAAGTAGTCTTAAAAATCAGAAGTCATGCAGGTATGGTAGATTGCTTTACTGGATTTAAACAGCAACTGATTTGTGAATAAAAACTTACCCCGGTTTGTGATCTCATTGCCAGCATTGCGATTGTTCTCGTCCTGTCCGCCATGGCAGCTCGATGAAGACGATGTTTTTGTCTTCCTTGAGTTTGAAACTTGCCGCTGCTGAGTCTCGTCTTCGTCCTCCTCATCCTCGCCTGTCTCGACCCCATCGTCCTCGTCGTCATTTGCCATAGCAGTGACTGAGAGACTAACTGTGTTCGGCGAGCTGGAGTCGTCGAGGCTACATAGCAGATTGCCGGCCGACTGCGAAGACGTTAGCGTGTCCTTGTGGTAGGAGCTATGGCGGTTGCCCAACTTGACTGCCATGTCCACATTCGAGGACTGCCTTAGGCAGCTGATCTGACCGCCTGGCAGTGTGGTGCTGCGCTTGTGGCGGCCCTTGCATTTGGGAAAGCCAGTTAATATATTGAGCCACCACTGCGACTCATCTGGACTAATGCCCTTGACGAAGGTCACGCGGTCCTGTGCAGTTATGGCAATCGAGTTTGTATGGCCTGTAACCTCCTCGGCACTGCTCACTTCGAGTACTTTGGTCATATCAATGCAAGCCTGTGGCACTGTCTCGGGCTGCAAACAAACGAAATCTTAGAGAATTCTGACAATTACTGTGTAAAATGTTTCCCTCTCTCCTAAAACATAAAACCGATATGTTCTGCCTGCTGTGAAAAGACAGATTTTTAGATAAGCGTGGCTAATCGGACTTGGCTGATGATATGGATCATTCGGAATAAAAGGCGTTCATCCGAGGAATAGCCGGACGGATATTCCGCTAAATTAAACATATTCTGTTCACATTGCGAACAGCTTATAAGCTTTATTATAATTTCATTTGGAATACTGTCACCGACGGCACAGGTAAAATCTAGAGCAATGTCGTAATTAGTTTCTTCAACGTGATAAGCATTCTGAGACTACAAATATTTGTATCTCTGACAGCACATAAGTTTTAATTCTAACAACGGCAAGGTACTTACATAATCATCCACTGAATAAGTCAGCTCACCATCGTCGTAGAGAACAAACCATCGTCTTTGCCAACGCTATTAGGGGTACAAAAAAAATAAAATATTCAGTTTTAGCTTCGATTAATAAAATTAATGTAATAAATATACGTATATTATGTTATGTGCTGTGATCGTTAAGTGAACAGCTCGGTATGAGGTCATTTCTGTCAATATCATCTTGCAATTGATTTGATTTGCGCTCAACACTTCCCCACGACTCATTGATATGTTCTCAAGTTAATCCAATAGTTAACAAAACAGAATTATTTTATTTGCTTCCGTGCTCATGGGCAGAAATGTATTTGCGTGTCAAGCGTTTACGATAGCCCCTGCTTTGTCAGACTATTAACATTTGAGTCTACCTACGGCTGGTGCTGATGGTAAATTATTGCCATTGGCCGTGGCCGTAACGCCCCCTTAGAAGGAACCGCAATTCCTTAACATGTCGCTTTGGTTGCCGCCGTCATCCCTGAAAAAATGACTATCCAATGCCTTCGCATTTATACTGGTTCTTATTGCTATTGTTGCTCGCAGATGAATACAGAAATCATAACAAATGCATGGCATCAACAACATGGTAGAGGATACATCTACCCGCAGACACATGCTCTGCACGGGCCCCCTTTTGAGATTTATGGTGGAGCTCGTATTTATGCAAATTACTAAAAGTCAAAGCAAATTAAGCCGAGGCTTCAGGTAGATGCCGAAGCCCAACAGCTTGTAATATTTTTATTATATTCCCTGCAAAGACAACTATTGTCGTAAATCGTGCATGAGGTGTGGCAGGTTGTATATATATTAAGTCCCCTTCTTATATATAAGTCTAAAAGCACCTCTTTGAAAGGAAAGTGTATTTACGGTAACTGCATTCAGTAAGGGTATCTACCACCCAGAGTAAACATTTGATGTTGAGTCGTGTTTTGGGTCGATTGGCAGATAACACTTACGGTAGGTTTTAAATGTAAACAAGGATTGTTTTACTTTATTTAACTGTAATGTAATTAACTGCTTGTCCTGATAGACTGAAGCTTGATTCGTATAAGCCGTAACAGCCTAAAAACTGTAACCTTACTGACTGCGTTTAAAAATCATTAAAGACAGTTCCCCACAATTCAAATGCTTGTATGGGCGAAAATTGGCAAAAAATATTGGTATTCGGGTCGAGTGTTTTTTCGCGATGATTTATCACATATCGTATCGATGTTATCTAAAATTGAAAAGTATCATAACCACAGTTTTTAAAATTTAAAGATTTCCAAATCTGGCAGAGACCATTTAATGAATATCCTACTATTATTTGACTTTTGGGAGGAAAAACCACCCGATCAGCATTTTTTATTTAAAAGTGGTATTTTTGCCATTCATAGATATAACAAATATTTTAAATTGCAAGTCTTTAGGTCTTATAGCTTTAAGGTATTGGCTCTTCATATTCCGCTCAAGAAAACAAATTCTATATGATTTCAGATATGCTCTCGTCTACCTGTTAAATATACCAGTACAACGCGTATACCCATTTGAATGAGGTTCAAGTAGGTAGACAGGTAGACACAATATATCAGGTAGACACAATATATTAGTTGGCGGCTGGCGGTTTGTCAAAGCCTACATGATTATGTGTACGTTATCGTAGAATGGAAATGTTTTAAATTTAAATTTTAATCTTCAACTTCATCCACTTGGGAGAAAACCCAATAACTTCTACTGATTGTTTGAGTCGTCCAGTCAGCTTCCTAGCTGTTACGGTTTGGGCTGTGTACTTTTTTAATTAGGAAATCGCAACCTTTTTAATTAAGATTAACAATTACGACAGCTCGAACGTCTGCCGATAGACGTTCTTATCAGGCTTTTACAGCAGTCCAGCTTATCAGTAAATTTACGAGTGGTTTGTTATAGATTCATAATCATATTCACAAGGTAGCAACGAATACTGTCCCATTTTAGCATATTCATTTTGAGCAAGTTACATCAAGCATAATTAAATAAGCTTATAATTTTTATCAAAAAAAAGAACATGACATAATATATCTTTTTAAGAGAGAATCAGAAATAGATTGTTTGCCTGAAAACCGATTAGAACATCCCGAACGAGTCGAGTTCCAATGTTTTCACTGTTTAGTACAGCTCAGATAAATTATTTTAACAACCGTGAATAGAATAAGAAATTTAAATAGAATGATTTGAATTCCACGTGGAAAATTATATTTTAGATAGATGTTTGATAATTAATTTGAGCTCCATCAAATGAAGATGCCACAGTAAAGAATCAATTTTTTTCGCCCGTCAGTTTATTCCCGAGCATTTTAAGCCCGGCAAGCTGTTTGACTTCTGACTTAATAGGCTCTGATTCTTATCAGGCCTTATCATTTTTAAGAATAGAATAGCTACGTTCAATATTCTAGAAATACTTAAACCAAAAGTCATCAGTAGAAGTGCACTTTTTAATCGATGACTATGCTAACTTTTGCTTATAAAATGACTATATAACAAATTACTATCAAGCATTACCCGAAATTTTGAGGTCTATCAGTTTATTTATTCCACTCCCTTATTGAACCTTTTTTGACATTTATAAACTTCGTATTTATGTATTTGTATCTAGGGAAGAAACTATGTAGATTGTATGTTAAGGTTAACGCTGTGTTCAGGACATTCTCAAGTGCGCCCCTCCCAAATTGTACTTTGTTAATGTATGCGTTTAGTCTAGATTATAAGGTCAAAAGGCTATTAATGCAATCTCGGCAAGCGAGGTAAAAGCTTGTTATTATTAATAGTTATTGGTTTCATTTTCTTTACATTGTATAGCTATACTCTATGTGCCTGCAATATGTACTAAGTATATTATCTTAATCAATGCCGTTCGGCTGAGACAGTGGGATATTATAATATCCAAGTTTTTTTTTTCGAATGTAAATGCACACAGAATGGTGAGATACGGTTGCTTGAAAGGGCTATAATGAATACCTGCCAGTTAAGGTTGATAATTGTAAACGTTCTTAGCATGTGGTGGGCTTGGTTTTTCTTGCTTAATGGAACTCGTGTTAAGCAATTGTTGACCCAAGTATGATAATTCTATTCGGTACGCCCTACTCGGCAGATGCAAATCAGCCGATGCTCAATTTGCGACCATAAAAAGCAAACATTTAGTCCACGTATATTGCTTTGACATTCACTGAAGGTCGAATCTCCAAGCGTGCCGCGTTCCATGCCTCTCTCCTATCGCAATACTCGATGTTTCCATACAAGTACACATGTGAGCACACGCCCATTTGTTTTCGTAAATTTACACAAGAGCATTACATTACCTAGACACTGAACGTCTCCGCGACTTAGACAGAGGCTTGGGATTTGACTTACAAGTATTTAAGGGGCCACTCGCATAGAGAACAGTGTCAGTCAGCACAGTGTAATCAGGCAGATCGGATCAGTTGCACGTTCCTCATATTATTATTTCTCGGCCGCAAAGTAAGTTGTAGTGTGTAATAATAGGAAAATAGTAAACAGCCTGGGGCACAAATATATGTACATATTTTCATATTACTGTGCAGGCTATCAACGATTTTGTTCATATATTCTTGATAGCCCTGTTTACTTAGTGCGGACTTTAACAGGTCTTGGTCCTGTGCCGGAGAGGGTATCTTATAGTCGGCCATCTATTAGTTATGGTCTTAAACTAGTTTGTTCTGGTTTTCTAATTTTAAATAAACTAGTCAAATAGCTGCGCATGCATGATATTGTGAAATATTTGAAATCTTAATTAATATTCTACCAACACACAAAGCACACGCATTGCCGAACGAGCATACGAATCTTAAGCAAAACAAAAAATAAATAAACAAATGTTGCGTCTAAATTAAGCACATACGTAAATTCGGCAAGACTTGACTGGAAAAAAACCAAAAGAAAACGCAACAAAACAAAACACGAACAGTTCTGTCAGTTTTAACGTCGACTTCGCTGCCGGCGTTCTTGATAAGATAAGATAAGATTGGCCGGCAAGGGAACACTAAAAAAAAACCACCGGCTGCGCGGTTATAAATAGTAGGCATAGACTTGAACAACTTAGAATCTGTTGTTCGTTCTTCGTCTGAACAGGTGAACTGACTAGAAAGCATCATTAAGAGGATGGCGATCGCTAACAAGAACATTATCTTTGTCGCTGGACTGGGTGGTATTGGACTGGACACCAGTCGGGAGATTGTCAAGAGTGGACCAAAGGTGTGTATCAGACTTTTGTAAGATGGAATAGTATATTAACAACAAAATGTATTTGCCTAGAACCTGGTGATCCTTGACCGTATCGAGAACCCGACCGCTATTGCCGAGCTGAAGGCAATCAACCCAAAGGTGACAGTCACATTTTATCCCTATGATGTAACTGTGCCGGTGGCAGAAACCACAAAGCTACTGAAGACGATCTTTGCCAAGCTGAAGACTGTGGATCTGCTTATCAATGGCGCTGGCATTTTGGACGATCACCAGATTGAGCGTACTATTGCGGTAAACTTTACGGGCACGGTGAATACCACAACTGCCATTATGGAATTCTGGGATAAGCGCAAGGGCGGCCCGGGCGGAGTTATTGCAAACATTTGCTCGGTGACTGGCTTTAATGCCATCTACCAGGTGCCTGTTTACTCCGCCTCAAAGGCAGCTGCTCTAAGCTTTACCAACTCACTGGCCGTAAGTAAGTCAGATAACAAACCGAATGTGAAATACCAAATCTCTTTAATTTGAATAGAGACTGGCGCCTATTACTGGTGTAACGGCCTATTCCATCAATCCGGGCATCACTAGGACACCCCTGGTGCACAAATTCAATTCGTGGCTGGATGTCGAGCCACGCGTGGGCGAGCTACTTCTTGAGCATCCCACTCAAACGACTCTGGAGTGCGCCCAGAACTTTGTTAAGGCCATTGAGGCCAACCAAAATGGAGCCATCTGGCAACTGGATTTGGGTCGCCTGATCTCCGTTGAATGGACCAAGCACTGGGACTCACATATCTAAGCCATTCAAATCCGAGCAAGGAGCATCT